TCCGTTTAAATACTGTCATATACGAGTTTGTAGCGTCGTATTGTGGCGTCGATAGACGATACTAAGCTAAACGCTAATATATTCCAAGGCGATATCCCCGCATTAGATCTATTTATCACCATTACTTGGTGGATTAGGTGCGTCACGGGCGCTAAGGTAATTATAGGCGGTGGAATACTTAATGCCTCTGGCGTACCTAATTATATGGACGCATTAACAGAATGTGGAGTTGCCAAGGCTGGGCGAGTGTGGTGTAAAGTCATAATACATTGTTACCAATTCTAATGGTAACGTTATAGTTATTGTAAAGATTAGAAACTCGCTTCTCTTTCTAATGTTTCCTTTTCAATCTACACATACTATAAAACAGATGTAAATAACGTTATAAATAAATAATATTTTATTAACTTTCAATAAAAATTTCTCCGTAGATAAACACCTGAAATGTTTTGTTTGGTAAATACGAGGCATAGTTTCTGCAAGAAATAAAGCGGAAGTTCTGCAGGTAGCGAATTCACTACAATAGAGATGAGATCTTTTGAACTACACGACGGCTTTCAATGCGATTTTTATCAATATATATAGTTATTCAAGAATGCTTATATATATAATACACGCATGTATTTTTTATGTTATCCAAAAAATATGCCAAATCCAAAGTATATAAGAGAGAACGTAGACAGAAGGAATGGATTCAAATGAAAAGAATTGAGGTTATTTTTTTATATATCTTTTTTATATTGTTTTTTTCATGTTGTATAATTTGTTACTTGACCTGTAAATATAATAATGTCTATTTGTTTTCTAAACGTCTTATTGTTGCTGTATTATAATTTTTAAAGTTTTCTTTTTAATAAAACTAGTTTAAAAAGGGTACTTTTAACCTTATAGCCACAGAATATTAAAATTATAAACAGGCCGCGCTGTTATATCGTAGAGGTTCAATTAGGTTCTAATTGGAAAACTAACATTGTGGCGTTCGGTCCTCTCCCTCGCAAGGGATACGGTGAAGATATAGATAGAGTTATGACGTGACTGGGGTTGCCAACTGTACTATAATATAGATAATATTGTACTGTGTTTTGTGTGTGGAGAAATATATGGGATGCAAAAATACTAGGCATATATCCAACAACGAAATCTAACAAATGAATTCTACGTTTATGAAGGCGCCTAATACATTAACGTTTGATATACGCAACAGCTCATACAGCCATAAGTTTGATGACGTTACTTCTTGTAAGCCAAAAGATGAATTGAACGGATATTAGGAAAAAATATAAAATTATATAAAAGAGCTTTCAATAAGATTATTCGAATAAAAGGTAATTTAATTTCATAGCATGTATAACCTGACACAATTGTTTTGCTTATTATTACTCGCGTCCTGTGGTATTTGATAGGTATTTAGATACATACGTGCTATATATTTTTTGAAGCGTACTATATATTTTGCTGATGATATGTTTGTAGACGTGACAGTGCTCTACCTAGACGTACCTAGTCGTCGGATTCGAGGCTATTTTTAACAGAATTTTTGCATCGTCAAAGTAACTGAAACAGAAGTGTTCTCGCATTGCTACATTTAGTTTAATATGATTTTCCGCACTGTCAACACCAGAAAATTGTTTATTTGCCACGTGAATGTAACATTAGTTACACGATTACAACAAAGAGTTACTACATCCTGTTCGTAATTATCATAATATAGCTCATTAAAATAGATTGTACAAGTTAAATATGTGTTTTCCTTATTATTCCTGTAATTTATTTTTCGTTGCGCAACAAAACGTAATTAGCTTATGATAATATTAGAAAACGAATTTATTTTATCCACTCATAAGTTGATTTTTCATCATCATTGGTCTATTAATATTTCCTTTGCAAGGGTAGACTTCCTTAAGATTGCGATCAAATAGGATAAAATAAATTTTGGAAATAGGTCACAAATCAGCACGTGGTGCGAGTGCGGACCGGACGTCGCAAATGCAGCCGAGATGGCTTCACATGCCTCCTAAAGCACGAATGAGCTTTATGATAATAAGCTTCCAAATTTGATAGTAAATAATTAATAATTGAAAAATATTAAAATACTTAATATTAAATGTGGTTGCATCAAGACATATAATCATAATATTTCCTCGATAGTATTACAAAGTTACATTTAAAATTCAAAATGAAATATTTTATTTCCTTTATTATTTGAAAACGAGAAATAGGTAATCTATTCCTTTTATTTAAAAACTTTGTCAATCACAACCCTTGCTAACAAAGCTCACATTATTTCACGTTTTCAAATAATAAAGGAGAATAGTAATTAAGAAAAAAGGGCAAGGAACACGATGGCGCAGTGGTTAGTACGCTCGGTCTACGATACGGTTCATAAGTAACTTTCGTAATGAGCAGTCGTAGGATGTGTGACCAAAAATTTACTATCTCGAACTCCTTCGTGCTTCGAAAGGTACGATAAGCCGTTGATCCACAAATCCGCAAAAGGCCCACTCTCAGCGTCAAATAAAAAATTACGCTCTATCTTTAACTATCCCGTAAAGGCAAATAAAACAAGAGTACTGGCAATATTCCTTGCTAGTAATCCACTACTCCAACCGATCAATTAAGAAACGTCACAAACATTTTAAAATACTATAATTTCCAAAGTAAATTAAAAAAAAATTGATTATACATCAAGAAGTATGCGTGTTCAACAGAATATCATAACAACTCATTAAACTCGAAGCAATAAAATTCCTCCCCCACACCACAAATGTCATCACTTTTCTTTATATAATTACTGTAGTAATAAGCAATGGACATTACCGCGATAGCATCTAGTTTTTTATTGCTAATGAATTAAAAATGATAATACTGTTCTTGCATGATAGATGTGTTGTCTGTCGTTTTGTTGATAAGGTGCTTTTTGCAGACGATCAGGGTATTCATGCCATTTCGAATGAGATATTTTCACGTGGACGCACGATAAGTTATTTTTTTAAATGTTATTAATTAATTCCGTGTAACAGACAATAAGTTTCGAAAAGTATACTTTTGTAGCTATAAAAGCGGTTAACAAAAGAAGAAAAAGGATAATTTTGCTTTGACTATGGAAAGTAAGAGAAAAAAATCATTAAAACCAATCGAACAATAGATTTTCCCTAAAAGTAAGGTGCTACAGTTACAAATAACAATGAGATCTGTATGATAAAAAGTATAATAAATTAGTGAGAAAACAAGCCGTGAACGAGGCGCACTTGCGCGCAGAGTGTTCCTAAAAATATGTTCAAATTTATAGATTTCTTGTAAGATTATTTATTTTTTGTTTCTGTGAATACAGAAACTAGAATAGTGTTTTTTTATTGAGATATGTATAAGGCGTAATATTAGTATATGCCAGGATTTCGTGTATAGGATGAGTTAAAATATACTGAATAACTTTTGCTAGAATAGCAACACTGAATAATCAGCTGTGTATACATATTTAAATCATTCGCCTTACGATATCCTAGCATATAATAATCTGACAACTAATAGCTAGCTAGCATATAATAATAGACAAAATATTTTTTCGACAGACATCGATATATATTTATTTCTGAGAAAATCTGATGCCACCAACGGAATCCTAAAAATGGACTTTAAGATGCATAATATTTTCAACTTGTGTTTTCCGTGCACTTAGTTTAGGTACTAATTGAGTCACACGAAATGTTTCTTAATAAAACCCACAAGGAAAACCACAGAGAAGGAGCTATGATGTAATAGACGTATTACCAAATACAGAATTAAGCCTTAAAATTGATACGTATTCAAAAATTTCTTTAAAAAGTTTTACAAAAGAGTTTGCATTACATGTACTGTCCTGCACATAATGTTTACCAATTAGCTCTAGAAACTTAAAAGTTCGTAGTTTATAAAAAAGTATTCAAACACGATAATTGTTTCTTATTTTTATGTTCTGACAAACGTTGATTAGTATTTCACAACATACACGCACAGAACACACACGCAACGTCATTGCAAATTCAGGCGCCTATCCTTCGGTGGTTATCAAAAGAATTTATATGTGAATCAGTAGAAAATTCAAAATCTTGAATTTAATTTTGTTTCAATTTAGTTTAAAGATTAAAACATTTTTTTCTACAGTAATAAGAAGCTTAGTTTTTTATAAATTACGGTTTAAAAACAATAAAGCCTATTTCATCTATTGAATTAAAATAATATAGATATGTTTCTAGTCTTGCAATCCTCATATTAAGAATTTAACATGTCAAATATTGTATAATAATCTTGCTTTCTCATAACCGCTTTTTAAAAACATGTCTCAAATATTTAATAAAAAACAAGAAAAATAATGCCGTACAACCTAAGTTTTATAGTTTATTCCTTGATCAAGCTGGTTGATATTATTCGGAAAATCATTTCTACAAAAATAATATTACTAAAAAAAATATTTTTCCAGGTCAAGAGATATTATTCTATCGTTTCGCAATATATCATCTAAACGCATGCGTGGCGAGCGTTGGAGTAATTACACTCATTGTCACATAATTACAACCAACACTTGTCATTGCACCCACGCATGCTAGTCTCATTTGGAATGAACACTAACCTAATTGCTTACGTCGTAAGGGCTGGATTCGAAAAAGTAGGGTTGAGAACTTGTGCCCTATTTGTTGGAATATACAGTTGTATTGTAAAAATATATCAGGAGATGGTAAGTTACTGCAGAATTAGTAGAAGAAGCAAAATACGATACACTGATTACAGAGAGGGAAAACAATTTACTAATAGATTAACAATCAAAACCTATTTAACAACCCGGGATCTCTAAATGTAAACATTCGCAATAAAATATTAAAAATAAATTATATCGGAATGTAATTTTGTCACAATTCGCAATTTTGATTGCTTTCATTATTTTCTACAAAAAGAAACTAAGGAAGAATAATCAACCTCACGTGAATATATAAATCCAATCAAAATAAACCGATAAGCTTACTGACCTGTTGATATTATTCATGGCGACTGCACCGCAGTTTTCTCTCTCACTTCTTTCTCTCGAACCGCCAGCGAACCTTTCAAAATTCTCCCGCTCCTTATTATAATGTCTCTCAGGTCTAGGCGAAGACGATCTCCGGCCTTGCATTTGCTGTGGCAAACTGTTCTGTTGAACCGTTTGCAGAAGGTTGTGATTCGATTGAGGCTGCTGCTGCAAAGCTTGCAACAACTCTTGGGCGTTTGACGCTCCGTTGGACAAGAAGTTTTGCAAGCCCGGATTTAGTAAAGCATTCGACAGCGTTTGGTTTAGCATGTTTGGCCGAATATTTGCCGATTGTTGGGGATTGGAGTTTAGCAGCTGATGGGGTTGGGCCATCGCTTGGAGGTTGGCGAGTGACGTCGACACAACTTGACCGTTATTCAGTGCGAGATTTACCATCTGGTCGTTTGAATTCACGTGGTTGACCGGTATCGTTAGAATGGTCTGTGTTGCAATTCCTGTTGAAGAGAATTTGAATGTAATCTACAAAGCGTTATACTGACATAATAATATTTTTTTTACAAGTACAATTCATACTACTTCGTTGATTTTTTAATTATATTTTCTTTGCTAGATTAATGATTACATTTTATTGATTGTGTCAGAAACTTAGTTAATTAACATCTTAAATCAATTTAAATTAAGTTCGAATTTAAGATTTTCCAAAATTTCAATGATTTCAAATTGTATTTTGTTATCAATTAATGTGATAAGTTTCCCACCTTGCGAAGTAGGTATAAGGAGTTGGGCTCCTTGGATTCCTTGTACCAACTGTCCAGACGCCAATATGAGTTGAGGCATCGGGGACGGCATCGCTGGTGGAAGCATATTGCTGTTACCTACGGGATTTGGGGATCCCATCCCTAAAGACAAACAAAAAGCTATAAATATAAAATCTCCACTTAATTTCTTGATTTATTTATTCAGTTTTAAATTACATAGGTCATATTTGCGATGTCGAAATAAGGACAGTACAAATACTATAAAGTCTCGAAGCTTTTGCGTCTTTTATGACTTCGTGTCATGTTGATAGTCATAAAATGACTCTAAGATATTATCAATATTAATATTACAAGACCACTATTGTTTGTAATTGACATAAATACCCCTGCATTTATGTTAATTACAGAATAAATAAGACGCATATGATTTTTTATATTAATGCCATTATGTAATTCCTATGAAATCGACAATGTCTTAACAGTATCGAATATAAAAATATAATAATAAAACATCAGATTTGGTACATAAAAATTCAACTAATGACGACTAAAAGAAAATTGCTTGGACTCATCAGTCATGGTCATTCTCAACAAATCGACGAAACAACCGCACGATACGAGCAAATGCAACTTTCTACTTAGGTAATTAAACAATAAAATTATATTGTAATTACAGAACAACCAGCTTTTATTAAAGATAGAAAATTACACAAAATCCATCGGCAACCGAGCAAGACTAATTTACCGCGAACAAAACGGCTCCAACAAAAATCTAAAACATTATCTGCATGCCTTACATGCCCGTTAAAGTCGACATTAACATAACGTATTCATTTAAACCATGACATTTCACATTTTGTAATAAATGCTCTTTCCTACGCCGCATCAATTAAGAACCGAAAAAAATATATAATTAGCTCTATTAAGACAATAAAACTCTTAATGATACCGCAACAGTCGTAATATCCGTGCGTTCGTGAAAAAATATGTAATTATACTCATTATTTAAATAGGTTTTTTCGTCCATTACGGCATAGCTTTAATGGGCGGGCGAGCGGTGCTGCTATCTTGAATTCATTAAATCGATTGGTTTCGGTAATCACCTAATTACGGATCACGTGATTCCCAAGTTAAGAGTTTTAATGCGCGAACCGTGTCTTTCCGATTATCCCAATCCGTCTGATTCAGTCTAATTAGTGGTCTACCCCCACGCCCAATATTTACCATTTGAAATTATAATGCTCTGAATGTATTCAAAGTGATTCAAATGCGGAGGTGATGTTTTAAAGTGTTTGCGAATATAGCGAAGGGTTGCATATATTGTGACTTTTATAAGACTCGATTCAGTCATGAAAAAGGGTTGTTATTTTTGATGGAGAATGTTTGGAATAAATGTAAGATAACATCAAAAATATGGACTAGATATTTATATAAATGGACGAGATCTTGGTTTACTTTTGTTTATTGTTATGGTAACTTCTAATTTGGAAGACGAAAAATTCAATTTTACAATCAATTTTAAACTTATTTAAGTGTCAGTGTTACACGAGTTTCTTACCTGGCGCGCTCACACTCAAGTTGAGTGGGGAATTGATGACCGGATTGGAAGGCATCGACGTTAGGCCTTGTAGGTTCGCTGCCAATTGTGACATTTGCTGTGACATCTGCTGTTGCAGTTGCTGCGACATGGGCGGCATGTTCTGCTGCATGTTCGCGAGATTTTGAAGGTTTTGGAACATAGACGCCACTGTTGAAATACAATTACGTTAATTTATTTGAATGAATTTTGTTACAAAAATATATAAAATTTGCTTATATAAATATATTATGGCTTTAGAATGGTAACGTTTAAGCGATATCTCTTAATCAATAATAATAGATGGATTATTAACAATTTCCTTAAATATTTTTTCATTAAGGAAGGCATTTTAGCCGTCGTCAGAGCTGCTTTAACATATTGGTAGGTATTATTTAATAATATATTTTTTTTTCGCAAAAGGGATTAGTGGAACTGAGTTGGGTATAGAATTTCAGTGATCTATCCACTGCTTCTATATCCAAGACTGTGACTATAACGTCAGGCGACAATTTTACGATTATGGTCGTCTTTCTGCTACAACCCTTTTTTAATATTATTTATAACCTGTTTTACTAAGAGAACTATTCTTTTAAGAGAAGACAGAATGAAGATCGGCATGAAGCACATGTTTACATTCGTGTGTCGTTTCCTTGAGATAGATATTTCATATGCAAGAAGAAGTTTGTTTGTTCTTTTTTTTTTGTTTGTGATGATTTAAATTGAAATGCTTGGAGAGTGACATAGACAAAATTAGTCCAAATTAGTAAATTAATATCATAAAGAGGAAAGACTTGATTGTTTGTTTGCATTGAATAAATTCCGAAACAACTGGGATGATTTTAAAAATCGTTTCATCTACGGGAAGCTACTTAATGCAGGTGACTTAGGTTATAATTAAGGTGAGCGAACTCGCAGTCAAAACTAATATTATAAACAGATTTTTAACTTTGTTTGTAGAGGGTAATCTTCGGAAATACTGTTCTGATCATGAAAATTATTTCACCTACGAAAAGCTTCATCAAACAAGGGTAATATAGGCAATTGTACGTGTGAAGATGAGGAAACAGCTAATAGTCTAATAAAGTGGTAAAGCTGCAGTACGAACTCACTGGAGCCATTCAGGTGAGGCTGGTGGTGCGGCGTGCGGGCGCGGGGGGACGGCGAGCGCGGCTCGGGCTGCGCGCGAGCCGTCCCGCCCTCCGGCGAGCTCGCACCGCTTTCCCGATCGGACTCCGCCTGCTGACAAACAAATTTAAAGATAAATAATCATACTTAACAAAAGTACAACATTATTAGCAAATGTAAAAATTTCCATAAAAATATATTAAAATTGTGAATGATGTTTTGAAGGTAGCTTTACTCTTAATTAGAAAAAGACAATCGATATCTTAGTCTTTAGTGAACAGAGGACTTGTAATGGGTCCATCACTATCTACCTGAGGTGCTCGATCACGCAGTGGTTAGCGCGCTCGATCTCCGATGCGGTTGTTAAGCAACTTTCGCATTGACCGTACATAGGATGGAGGACCAAAAATTTTTTTATCTCGAGCTCATCCGTGCTTCGGAAGGCACATTAAGCCTTTGGTCCAGGCTGCATATGGCCTGTGTCGCGACCTATTCTCCCTATTCGATTTGATTCGATTCCATTGGTGGTGATGATTATCTATCTATCCCGTAAGGGACACCGTAGTATTTCTAATGGAATAGGCTGAAAAGGCCGAGTGACATAAGACAACGGTTTTAATATGCATCTTAAACCTATTATTAAAAAATATTATTGAAATTGAAAAAAAACCTGATACAGGATCGTAAACAGCGCTGATTTTCACTATAGTACATCGTCAGCCACCCCTATCTCTTAACGATGTGAGAACATAACTTATGGGCTTAAAACAGCAAAGTGCAGTAATGAGATATAACACTATATGACACTATGAAACAAAAAGAAAAAAACTTAAAAATAAATCAGAGTGTAAGTGTATTTATGTGTATATATTTGTGTTGTATCATTAAGATTTCTATTTTCGTGTAATGATACCAGTTTTATTTCCATACTTGCCGACAAAATAAGCGCAATACAGACCTTGTAATGTTGCACTTTATGATTACACTTTGGTTACTCGTTTATATTATAAATATTAGTATATTGTTCAGATTCTAAAATTTAACTGCTTAGTTTAGAATCTGAACAATATAAAATTACGCAGACTCGAAAAAGTATAGTAAAGCATAATTATACATAACGTTTCAATAATTGAAACGTTAAATACGACCACAAATACTTAATAAAAACTCCACGGTAAAAAATCTTCCTGAGAAAAATGGTCTTCACAGACAAACAAAATATAGTATCGATAAGGGTTTCAATAATTATTTTCGAGTTACAGAACCATTACATATATGAATTTAGATATCACAATTATTATCTTGCAGCAAAAAAGATACGAATAACACAAAAAAAAATTAAACAGGAAGCGAGTTGGCATACAAAAATCGATTTATTGCACAAAATTAATTCCTTGTTTATCAAGTTCAATGGAAATTAAAGTAATTATTTCGCACGGCTAATGACGACGGTCGCATAAAAGTATCAAGAAGGTCTTATTGATATGCTGTTAATTATCGCATTATATGTGTTTGTCGAGAGGAAATACCTTGAGTTAATTTGATGTAATTAAGCGAGCCGCATTATGCTAAAGAGGCTTGGGTGCTACGTCAATGGAGAATTATTTAGTGCACTCATACTCCACGAAGTTTCGGCCTGCCTTAAGTAATTAACTTTAACTTTGGTTGTGTATCTTATAAGTAAAATAATACTATTGTCGTCTACGTCTGACAGTATTCAACCAACAAAAGTATTCTTTTTTACTACATCAAAATATCGCATAAGTAAAAATGAATCTCTCAATATATTATTAAGAATATAACTTATAACGACTAGGCCGTTTTGCGCATTTTTGACATGTATTTGTTAAGGTATGAAGTAGGTTCTTACGCTAAGAATATATTTAATAATAAAATATTTCTGGTACAGTCAACAACACGTCAGTTTATATAAAACTGTCAAATTTCTATACTCATATTTGGCTATTGCAATACTTGAAATCTATATTATTTTTAAGTTGTTAGTACTGAGTCAATTGCGCTAACTAGATTAATTTTTTTATAAATGTTATCAAACGGTATAAAATATTTTCAATTTCGTAAATAACTAAGATAACAGAAGTACACATATATATAAAATATACAGAATTGTACATATTAAATAACAGTATACAGGAGTATATCTTCATTTTTTTAATTGTATATGGCTATGGAATAACCTTTAACCGAAGTATTTTTCTTTTTTAATTTAGTTTCGAAAACGGTAAAAGTTTGTCATTTTTGTAACATTTTTATTTAAGTAATCTAAAAGTAATATAGAATGATGTCATACATATTGTCTTTCCATTTGACGTGCTACTCATTAAATATTTTATACAAATATCAAAAAAATAAATTTAAAATATACAATCCTGTTATGAATATACCGACAGCGTTGTATATTTCAATGGGGTCGTATTGTTGTTATAAAGAAAACCTAAAAAGGTAACATTTATTAGCAATAAAACTAACAAATACAGGTGGCTGCATTACATGATCTACATAGTTAAACAGTTCGTGGTTTAGTAATTAGTGATCTACTAGTCAGTCAGTCTGACTATAGAGCATCCAGTTAATTTAATATGCAGTAAATACTTAAATGTTCGATGGCGATACTGTTGGAACTTGATAGAGCAGTGTTTAGTGCGTTTGTGATACGGCAGTTAAGCAGCTATCACTAGGGCTGGCACATTTGATGGGTGATCAAAAATTTATTATCTGGAGCTTCGTTCCTTCTTTGGAATGAACGCTAAGCCGTCGTTGACACTCAACAACCAGTACTGTACCAGTGATGGGTCATGGACAAGGATGTCCCATTCTCCCTATTCGATTCATTTACATCCACCAGGAAGATCTGTGTTTCAGCAGTGGGCACAATAAAAAGCTGATCATGACAGTGATTTTAATACAGAGAAACAAGAGGTTGTACTAAAATATGCATAATATATCCCAATATTTTTACTCTAATTGGAAAAATACGCATATAAATTTTAACGATATACCTATTTGTGATTTCTTTTGGCTTTCTCTTAAATACTTCTTGTGACTTACTTAACTAACTAACTTAAAAAAACATCTAATATGCTTCCCGGGACCACCAGCTGTCCACGAACCACCTATTAAGCAGTACTGCTCTAGTTTAAGAAACATTGGGAACATTAGAAAATTCACCTTAGCAGTGTACTAAAGTTGTTATTGGTAAAAAACTCTGATATTTATGTGGGTGTACCTATGTAGTTAAAGCATTGATTAATGTTGATTTCAGTTTTTAGCTCACTGCGAACAGAAGGAAAAACGGAGATAGTCGTAATATGATTAAACGTTCCTAAAGGAGATTTTTGGGGTAAATAAAAACAGCGATAAATTTTTGTCAGCTTCTATCTCTTATTAAATTTAAATACTTAATTTATATCTTTATGACAATTCGGATATAATGGATACTCAAAATAACATAGAAAACTCATTAGAAGGAAAGAAGAAGCTCAAAGAAACGACTATTTGAAAAAACTTTTTTTTTTATTAAATAAAATATATTTATTTATAACATTTTATTGTATTAAGTATCAGATATAATTATGAAAATTTTAAATACTTCCACATTTTAATATAACAGCGGTTATTTCTTTAAATCTTATCAAATGCATGAAAAGTATCACTCCTTGCTGATAGATGGCGTTAAAAGTCCCAGTGCTCAAGTTTATCTTAACTTTTAAACACTTGGATTATACTAGTAGTTAAAGCTTTAAGGTAGGTACATATAGTATCATTTATAGTATTTAATATTAGTATTTTCAAGTACTTATTATAAGTCCCAATATTTTTTTTATAAAAAAAATATGATATTCAATATTTTTTAAAACACATTAGTCTATCTTAAAAATTAATTCAAATAATTGATATCAAACAAACAATATAATACCTAACTACTTACGAAAGATAATGTCATGTCTCTTCACAGTTCAAAAATGTATCACACTGTTTCAATAAAACAAACTCTTTTATATATTACTCATCGTGAAATTCAAGAAAAACGTGAATGGAGAGAACAATTTTCGCGCGTCAAAACTCCGCTAGAACTTCGCGCAACTTCACCAAAAGTTTTGTCCACAGATAAAATGTTTACAACGACAACAAAACGTTCTTCACACGCACGATCGAACACATCCGTCGCATGAAAAGTTCAGAACCACAGAGTAGATGATATTGGCGCGAAAACGGAACAGAGCGCACTATCGACAAAAAGTCATATATTTTTTCTTTTTTTTATTTATCAACGGCCCGGCACACAGCCGCGCGGCGAAGTTGCAGAGCGCGGAATGAAAGCGCGTCATCAGTTTAAAAAATCAACCCCTTCGGTGGTGGTTGAAAAAATGCGGCTCCCAACCGGGAGGGGGAGGGCGACCCCTTCGAAATCCTTACTAAAGCGATCGCCATCGGACCGACTTGTCACTTGTCGAATAAGCATAATTAAAGTTTTCGCCTGTTTTCATTTGCTTTAGTAATTAGGTGCTAATTAATTGCCGTTGCTTGATGTTTATTTTTATACAAATTGCTGGTTTTTTCTAGAAACACCACCGGGTTAGCAAGAAAACTTTGTGATTTAATTATGCAAGATTTTATTTTGTCTTGCTTTAATGTGCGTTAGTTTGCCAACATAATAAAAAAGAGTTTAATAAAAGGTTGTCTATTTTCAATAATTAAACGATTATTTATAAATCCTCATAATGACAAATACGACAAATACAACATTATAATTATTTTTAATTAAAGATATTTGCTTCGTCACTCTTTAAGTACCATAACAGATTTTTATAATTATGAAACAAATGAAAACTTAGACGGAGTTAATTAGATCATTAAAAATAATTACTAATTAGATTTCAAAAAAATACCTTCTGCAAATCTGGCAAATGCTCGGGCTCTCGTCACAGACTAGCTACACTAACAGAGACTTTACTGGAGCAAAAAGTTAGTCACGCAAAACTTTTGCATTTTGTTATCTTGAATTTCGAAATTATATGTGAGTACCTAATCTATTAAAGTGTACGTGTTTGGTTTGCTATTGTTTGGGTGTATATTATTTGAGCCAATATGTGTACT